CTCCTTTAAAAAGAAAGGCTAAGAGTGAATTTTGCAAAAATGAGCCAAGAAGTTATGATCCAAAGGAACTCATGTGGATAAATCTGCTTGTGTCTGTGCTGAAGGTTCTCCGTGACCCAGGCGGTTTTGAAAAAGTCCCCATCATGGATTAGCCTTACTAGAACAAAAAGATCTATGTGTATAGAAGTTATGGCAGAAGTTGATTAATTGTAATGACATTCAAGAGGCTACCCTGTAATAAAAAAAAAAAAAAAATTCTTGTGCTTTCTAAGCCAGCTACTGGAAACTATTGTTGCCAGAAGCATTATCTCAAAAATGACATATAATTTCACATTTGTCCCTGACATTTACTCTGGGCTTCTCAAAATTATTTTCCTCTTAGTTGGCTGTTTCAGTTAATTAGACTAAAAAGATTTAGTCTAATGGGGCAGAATGTCATAAATATTTGGACAGCAACTTTTTTAGAAGTTATGGAAAATATGACATGTAATACATAAATCTTTGCCACTTAAACAAGAAAAGGATAAAAGTTTCACCAAATTTAAATTAGAGAAGTTTAAAGTTCAATGAGGAAAAAACTATTTTTGATTCACATATCATGTTATTGATATTTAAATTAGAAATATTAGAAATCAGTGCCAACAAAACTTCAAGCTAAAATTTGCTTAAGGGGAAACTAGCAAGAAAGAGATACATTTGTCTTATTCTACTAGGACTCAAAGTGTACAGATATGACACTATCTGGGCAGCTTATATATTCCGGGGTACTTGAAAGATATATTTCTTAAAGTAGAAAAGAGTCTCATTTACTTTCGCTTATGAAATATACTTTAAAAGCCCTCCATTTTGTTATTTCTAATTTCATGCAGGCCCAAAACCTTGATAATAGCTTCCTAGATATATCAATTTCTAGAAAAAGAATCCAAGGATAGGAGAAAAAGACCATAATTTAATGAGTTGCCTTTCTGGTTTACACAATAGTCTCCCAGGAGTTGTAGTCTAGAAAGAATTTTTCGGGATCCAACCTTCCCAGAGTGCGCTGACAATGTTGAGCCTATGCCTACATGGTTAATTGATTGCTCTAAGTAAGATCAGCCATAAGGCAGCATTAATCTGAGAGATACTAACACTCCCTGGGACAATGAGACCAGTGAGTAGTATGACAGAGAGACTACATGATATTCTTCCTGTGGTTTATGTTGAAGCAGAGACCGTATGGCCTACAAAGCCAAAAGTCTCAACTATCTATACACCTCTATAAAAAAAGTTTGTTGACCCCTGTGTATGTTTGTCCATGTACACAGGCACACAAATAAATGAATACGTGTCTCCATTTAAAAACCAAAGTCTTTGGAGAGGTCAACACATGCTAAAGAAATAAATTTCAGGTATTAGGTGCATGTGTTTATACATATGTATGTGTTTGGAGGAGTTATACTTAAGCACAGGTGAACCATCATAGGAGCTCTTGAATACAGAATTAGGAAAGCAGATAAATGAGGAAGAAGCAGAAATTCATTAAGGCAGCTTTTCTAGCTGCAGTTTTCTCTGAAGCCACTGGATTTGTGTGGCTTAATTACACATATTTTTCTCCTTTTCCTTTTTGGAGAACGGACAAAAATAATACGATATGGTGGTTGCCCAATAAAATTTTGTTCAATTAATCTCAAAGTTAATTACATAAAAAGCCTTTATAATTTGATTTACTAAAACAAGCACTGATTTGTATGGTGGTTTAAAAATGTTTATGGTTTCCTTAAAGGATCAGTTTCCTTTAAAAAAAGACTCTAAAATGTAGGAGACAATCACCATGTGGGAAAGACTCTGGGTATGAAGAAGAAGGAGTTAAGAGCAGCTAGAACTCTCAGTCTGAAAATATTTTGGTCTTTTACCATCATAAGGTAATCCTGATCTCATATCTTATTTCTAAACAACAGCTAGAAACCAGTTGGAGGAGAGAGTCCAGCAGTGATGAAAAACCTTGGGTGGACCAGCAGTCAGGAGCAAGAAAGCCAAGTGCCTTCCCCTATGGACACCAAGGAAAGCAAGTGTTTAGCAGAACTTAGCTTTCAGTAACTAAATGGAATGAGCACTTACTCTGTACTCAGTAGTTCAGATTTGCTAAACTCCTGTTCTACCTGTGATGCTATGTTGCTTATAAGACAAATGTTATCAAGGTATCCAAAGCCATCCATATCCTGGCCCAACTTAGCTTTACAGCTCATCTCTTGTATACCGTACTTCAATTTTTACACTCTAAAAACTCTTAACTTTGTGTTTTCCAGCATATGAAAGATTGCATTATTCCTCTTTTTCTTTGTACTATTTCCTCTGTCTAGAATGTTTTTCTTACCTTTCTTCACCTGGCCAAAGCCACTTCATTACTTAAAATTGTTTAGGGATCATCTCCATTAAGCTTCCCTGAATTCTCTACAAAAAAAAAAAATGCCTATCTTTGATTTTCACAGAGCAAACACAATATCTTATTATTATGATACCATATTGCTTTGAAATTATTTGTTCAGTTATCCCAATCTTTCCTGCCAAATTTAAAGTTCATGAAGGGGTGGGGTAGTATCATTGTCTAAGATCTTCCGCATTTACCACTTGGCATATAGTACTAAGTCAATAATATTGGCAGAACTATGTGTTGAGTTTATTAGTATAAATAAAATACATAGGTAAGCAAGCCATATATCTGTACTCCTCAATGATTTGAAGAAGGCCATTACTGTGTCTTGGCTAATCTGAGAATGTAATATATCACATCATATACCTTAGGTAATAGTGAGTAAAAATGAAATTTATTATA